TCTGAGTCGCTTCGTGCCTTGCCGACAGTGACCCACGTCGCTGCTCGGCCCCTAACCCCACCGTGCGGCCCCAGCAGCGGTTGTTCCTCCTGCCATCTTGGGGCAAATGCATCCAAATTTTGTTCTGAGGGGAGAGCAGAGTCCAAACGGCTCCGCACGCCGCATTCGGGGCTAAACTCCCTTCTCCCGAGTGCTTTCCAGCACTAAAATTCACTTTGCGGAGCAATGTCCCTTAGCCCCTCACCGCACTGTGAACTGCTCCACTGCACTTCGTTAGCAGCGCCAGCTCGTTAAAGGAGCTCAAAAGCAGCCATGGGCTGGACACTATTAGTGTTCATCCATGTCAGACAGCTGAAAATTGTTCAACCACTTGCGAGGATCGAGAGCGAAACCCATAACCCGCAAAGATGAAAAAAAATTTTTTTGAATGATCGAATAACCTTGGAGTTGCTATTTTAGTTCAAAACAAGGGTTTTCTCTGTTTCATTTCGAAAGGCCACATTTTAGGAAATAAATACTCAGAACTGTAATCCTTTGGCCCATACACGTCAGTTAAAAGAAAAAATGAGGGATGACAGATGCTTGGTGACAGAGGGAACAAAAGAAACAAAACAAACACAGTTTCAAGTGGCTTTAAGATAAGATTTTATTAGGTAGATTTTTTTTTTGCCCAAGAGGATCAACTTTGATATATGCTGTATTATTTGGTGCCTGACAGGTTTGAGGAATATCTTGTCAAGGTGCAGCGAATGCAAATAGAAAGCTGGCGTTTAACTGACACGAGGATTAACTCCACATCCTCAAGAAAAGAGCCGCCACATCCCAAACAAGCACCGGGGTAGGAAATTACCGTAGAAGCAAGAAGGAGAAATTTTAAAAATTACAAAAATGCAGCAGGTCAGGCCAAGCAGGGTGGCAAAAGCCTCGAAGCCAGGATGGATATTTGGCGGACACCAGTGGAAAGCACCAAATCCTCGGCGCTCCGGGCATCATGGCCTTGGGAATCGCGCGAGTTTGCGCTCCGAGGAGGACGGGGGACGTCCCGTTTGCACCCGGGCTGCACAGTTGCCTCTTGCACTTGTGAACTTGCAGATCCGATTACAGGATGAAACGGGGCTTTGAACTTCTTGTGGTATTTTCCAGCTGGGGCCTCAGCAAACCACAGCAGCATTTTCTGAAACTTAGTACCTTGCTGCTGAGACCTGCATATACATTTATATATTTAATCCCCGCTTTACAGTTGAGGACTTTGAGCAAATTGCGGTGTTTTTCACAAGGGGTTGAGTCACCTGAAATCTGATTTAAATAAATGCAAGGACACTCGCCAGATGTGCAAACTGCTGCACAGGTGTGACCCAAATGCAGCTCCTCGACATCCTTCTGCATCATCTCCTTTGCTATTTGTTATATGTAAAATTAAACAGGAATTTCTTTGGGAAATGATTGTGCTCCAGATGTTCCTCTGTTAAAAAAAATTAAAAAGGTTCCAGCGCATTTTAAGTACGTAGATATGTGCAAGTGTTTAATTTTTACAAGCTTTGCCTTTGTTTTTGGTTGAAATGAAGAAATTACATAAAAAATCAGGAAAAAAATCTCATTTTCAGACTCTTAGTTGCACAAGACAAGCTTCAAAGTCTCCCATCTTTTATATAATTAGTGCTATTTTTTTCTGAAAAATTAGTGCTATTTTTTCTGCAGACCTTCCCCGACTTGGAGGTCCCCTCCAGTCTCATCCTTGCACAGGAGCAGCAGCTCCTCACGGCTCCGTGCAGTGATGTCTGGGGACGTTTCCTTTCCACAGCCATCTTCTCCTGCCACGATTTGCAGTAATGCAACTGCTTTCCCACCGGGAAAAGCGACGCCGGTCACTACCCCATGGCGAATTCCTCCATCAGGCCTTTTCCCCAGTTTGGGAGCTGTGGGAAGCATCTCTCCGGAGCGGCACAGCTCCGAGGGAGGATATTGTTTCCATTCAGGGCCTTGGGACATGCTAATTATGTTGGGAGGAAAAGGGGGGCTGGCAGCATTCCCATGGGAGGGACAGATCGGGCAACCCGTTTGCCAACGGCCAACTCAACCCTCCGTCTTGTAGGGAATTGTCCAGAGCTCTTTTCCCCCTTCCTGGTTACTGTAATGAGGGGCTGACTTCCCAGATTAGCTCTGGCTATTTAGATGCTAATTTAATTAACAAAACATCCTGAAGGGGAAAGGCATTTCTCGCCCCTCGCGTTCATTTATGTTCATTTATCCAGTTTCTGAATACAACCCTGTTTTAAGCAGGTTGAGGAGCTGCCGTTATGGCTATACCCACCTGGACGTAACAGGGACTGAAGCTGTAACATAAAGAAGAGAAAATCAAGGCCCTTGAGCTCAGTTTTTTTATAAGCAGATGAGAAAGAAAGATCGTTTAGAAGCACCCAATTCATAAGGACTTGGTGTGTCCCACGTGTGACATATCAGCAGGCTGAGGTGGAAGAATTTGGCTCTCATTTTTGTCAAGGTAACGATACGAGTGGGTCATCTAGACATAATGATATCTCATGGCAGCCTTTGGGTCGTCTCTTCCTCCAAACTGCAGTGAGTGATAAATCAGCCTATTTTAAACCCATTTCTTCATTTGTTGGAAGGGCACATCAGAAGAGATGCATCAATTATGGATACGCTGTAGACCTAGTTTCTACCCATAAATCATTCAGGCTTTGGAAAACTAAAACTGATGTTCTCATCAGTGTTGAGTTAGTTGCACCCAGGGCACCCAGCAGCTCCTTCACATCATGCTGGAGCAGGTCCTCTGCACAAATGTCCATGGAGAAACAGTCAAAAACTCTTTGTTTCAGTATTTTTTTTTCATATATTTCTTTTTTTTGGTCCCTTTCCTGTGAGAACACTGGCAGTTATGTCAATGCTGCGTTCAATTCTGACATACCCATTTGTCTTTAGGTTTACCTGGCCTTTCCATCTGGAGCCACAGATATAGAAATGCAGCACAGCTCTTGTTGGCAGGTAAGGCAAAAAATGGAAGATGCCAGAGAAAAAGGGTATTAAAAATTGGTCAAGAAATCAATGGATTAAAAAAAAATATCCAAAATGTTCTATTAAAATCCTGTTTGCTACCAACTCTCTGCTTTTTTTTTTTTTTTTTAAAGGGATTACTAGAAATTCCTCCAGCAACACAGTTCGTACTGTTTCGTAGGCTCACGTATGTGGCTCACATGAGTTTTGGCACAGATTTTCTGTGTCCCTGTTCATAGGAGCTGTGCTAAATCAAAGGATTACGAGTTGCTGGGGTCATTCATAATTCTGGGTTTTGCTGATCTTGAGACAAGATTATTTAAATGTACTTGAGCTTGGCCTCCCACCCTGGCTGGGACGCGTGTGCGCCCACGAATCCCTGAATTCCTGTTGCAGGACTAATTTATAACACAGGGCAAAGCCTGAAACAAATTCCGTAGATGATCCTGCCCCTCTGTCTTTTTTATTTTCAAAAAATTATTCCAAATTTCCAAGTTCTAGTCATAAATTGCATGGTTTTAACACACCAAGTTGTATTAGCTAGAGGGAATCCCATATCTATAGCCAGAATTGGTGGCACAGTAGTCCCTGCAACCTGCCCAGTTTATGGCAATGAGGTTTCCTACAGCTGCTTTGCTTGGGATGCAGTGGGATCTCTGCACAGGCTCCCATTCCAAAGGCAAGGCAGAAGCTCTGTAATATCATAAATTACTCCAAATTTCAAAGTCCTAGTCATGAATTGCATGGTTTAACACACCAGGTTGTATTAGCCAGAGGGAATCCCGAGTCTATAGCCGGAATTGGTGGCACGGTAGTCCCTGCAACCTGCCCAGTTTATGGCAATGAGGTTTCCTACAGCTGCTTTGCTTGGGATGCAGTGGGATCTCTGCACAGGCTCCCATTCCAAAGGCAAGGCAGAAGCTCTGTAATATCAGCGATTTCTAGGCAAGGGTGACACCCGGCGGCTAAGGAGCAAGGGAAAAGCAGGTCCAGGTGCCACCTTCCTCCTTCCCTGTCTTGCTTCCCGTTTTTTTTCCTCCTATGGCAGGAGCAGGGGACAGGCAGCTCTGTCCCTTTGCTAACCCTCTCTTTCTCTTTGAAAGTGTAAAAAGGAAAAGCCAATTTAAGACACCAGGACACAAAGCATTGGGAAGGCTGATCCAGATGTTTCCTGACTTATAACCACATGACTCTCCTGGAAAAGAACAAGGGCAGCTGGAAATGAGGCCAACTTTACCTTAGGGGAGTTTCTGGAGCTTGTGAAGATGGGAATTCATGCTCTGTGCCATGAAACCACCAGTGCTGGGGAAATGCAGCTCCTAAGAGATTATTTTTTAAGTCCAGAAACCAAAGGCTTTTTAGCCTTATACCCTTCTTTCTGTTTGCCTTCCCTTTTCCCCCTATGGATGTCTTTATTATTCCTATGCCTTTCCCATTCTGTTTTTTGTTGGATAGCAATGAATTGGACAGCATTCCCAAGGCATGGCACAGCTGCGTCTCCTGTGGAAATCAGCCAAAATGGAAAGGTTTGGGCAAGATGTGGCTAAGGTTTTGCCCAAGACATCCAGCCTTCACTGCCTGAAATGATAGGAGATGTCTCCTGTCGCACTGCTCCAAGTGCTCCATAACTGTGAAGGTCTTGTAAAATTGCTTAACTGTCACCATTAAAAAAAAAAAGACAAGTCCTCTCGTCAAGCAAGTAACATCTGTGGGATCTTTTTCCACTGCTTTCTATGGGAGCTCTTCTTTTAGCTTTGCACACCCCTTTCTTGACACCTTCCCAAGTGTCCACTTGGGTGAGAAGTGGCCCGCGCTCGATGTCCCCCTCGCTCCTTGTGCCCTGCACGAGTCATCTGAGTTCATGGGCAACGCTGTACACATGCCCAAGGGCAATATTTGGACTCTTGCAGGCACTTGCAAGGTTAATATTCATATCAATTAGCTTAACAAATTACCCCGTGCAAGGAACGCGTTTTGGTGGCTTCTCAGGCAGAACTAGAAACGCCGGTGTGGTTGCTCCTGGACATAAACCACAATTTTGCACACATATTCCTGCTCCAAACTTTCGTCTCTTCTCCTAAGTCGAGTTTTGATGCTTTATCTCCAGAGCGAGTCTGTTGAGTTTGCTCTTTCCGTCTTTGGATCCTTCTGCCCACACCATCCAAGTTGCATTTCAAAGAATGAGGTTGAGATGAGACGAGGTTGCTGCCCACATCCGTCCTTTGGGCTTAGAGATGCTCTGAAACCTATTGTGGGTTTGGATAGGAACTGGTAGGAGCTCTTTCATCTCACTTATTTTGCTCCTCAAACTTCACCGTCTGGTCTGCCTTAGCTACCTGGCTTGTCTTGGCTCTCAGAAGAGGGGAGGGAAGCAACTGGAAGGCAAATTTTCCTCTCCTGAGACAGGTATCAAAGACACATGAGATAAATCACCCTTTGGCTTGACCCCACAAGGGATAAGCAAAGAGGATGAGCTTGGGGAAAGTCTGGTTGACTAATGAAGACTAAGAGGATCTAACTTTTAGTCTGCCAAAGTAAAGGGAAAACAACTGTTGCTCCGAAGTTTTTAGGCTGCACATCCAAAATGCTCTTTTATCTTCTTAAGGGTGGTAGAGATCAGCAGCTCTGCCCTTCTCCTGGCCTGCTGTCACTGATATCATTACCTGATATTCCTGTGGCTCTCCGGACAGGTTGTTCCAGCTCCTTAAAGGCACTCGATGCTCTTCCCTGGGTTTTTTGCAGGAATTGTCAGTGCTCAGCACTTCTCCACATCCTAATGGCCCTTCCTTTGCATGCACTGCTGTTCTCAGGCAGGAGGGGGAGCCCATACATTATTTTTTGTTGCAAGCTGAGCAAAATAGTGACAGAAAACCCAGGGATCTGCAGGGTTTCTTTTTTAGCGTGAGACTGTCTGCTTAGCTGAGGATGCACAGGGAAAGATAAACTTGTCAGAGCCCGCATCATGGTTATCAATTCGAAAAATCAAGCAAGGTTGCAATCCCAAACACCTTCAGCACGTGCCATCCTGCTGATTCAAATGTTAGAGAGCAGAATTTAATTAAGAACTCACTAAATAAGCACAAACGGCGTGAAAACAGACTTTAGAAATGGAATAAGTCATAGCCGTGTGACATTTATTTTTGCTAATTGACTTACACACCCACTGCGATGCCAAGATTAGTCATCTCTATAGTACTAAGTTTATGGTTATTTGTATAGAAGCAGTCTGTGAGCTGCTGTCAGCACGTCAGGGTACTTCTGTCAGGATGAAACACTAATTAAATGTGTGTAGTTTTGATATAGTCTTCTTCTTCAGCACCCAAACCCCTCCGAATGCTTTTCTTAGCACTGAAGTGATAAACCAAGGCGGGCTGAGAGTGCTCTTAGATATTTTTGCCTTTCCATGAGTCCTGAAGGATGTAATCCTGCCATCACCTTGCATGGTCCTTCAGCCTGTGTCCAGGTCTCTGCCCTTGCCAAAAACAACATCAGAGACCTTTTAAGAGGGATTATAGATTCCCTGTGAGGCAGCAGCCTGGATTATTTTTCCTACTGATGCTCTAACATGAAGGTTGGGGTAGCTGGAGCCAACAGGGAATAACTGGGAGCATCCCCATGAGATGCTCTGGACACAGCATGCGGCTGAGAGACCTAATCCTGTTGCTCAGGGACGGGTTTCAGACTGCACAGCAGAGAAATCCTGCCTAGAGTAGGTGTTTTGGAGCCTGATGTAAAGATAAAGCCAACGAGATAAACTGGAATTGTTTCAAGAAATGGGGCGGCTGTTCAAAGGCTGAAAACACGCCAGAAATTGTGTTGCATTGATTGAAATTGCATACGTATGAATGGGCATTCATGGAGATAGAAAGCAATAAAATATAAATAAAAGCAGAACTAAATGGCAGTATAGAAACAGC